TGGTTCTGTTTGAGTCATATTATTGTAGCACTCTTAATTACTGTGTTTGTTATAGGTATTTCTTGGTGAACAAAATCTTATGTATATATATTTATAAGGAAATATAGGCAAAATGATATTTATATTTTGTAACCAAACTAGAATTTTCAAGAAATCATTTTCATTCCCCAATTTAAATATTTAACTTATTTACAGAATGAGAGATTTATTAATGGTTCTAAACTTTGGTATACTGGGGAATTTTTCAGGTTTATTTTACGTGAACGTCACTTTCAAAATCTCTTCAAATAAAATTATTCAAAATTTACATTTGGCTTCTGGGGAAGGGGGATTACCAGAAAGAAGATATTATGAAAAGACTTAAATAAATTCTACTGTTGATAAAATTATCTGAGATATGTTTGAATGTCTTTTTTTTAATAAAAAAGTTACAGAAATGTTTTAGTCTACAATGTAATCCAATTTCATTTCTTTAACAGAAATTGATGATCGCTGGTAGTTCATGTTTATGTTTATTTGTTTGTAGCCCTTTAAGTTTCTGTCAGAAGACTAACGGGACATTTCCAGTTTGACCTTGTGATTTTTGCAAATTGGCATAGAGCGATTTACAGTACTTGTAATGAGCAAGTCATACTTTATTTTTAATCATGGAAAATTGCTTTCTTATTAATTTTGCTACATAATTCAACAGTTTTGCTTACTCTATTGTGCTAATATTTCTCATCTAAAGAAAGTAAATATTTCTCATTTTATAGAACAAGGGAAAGATTGCACAATTTAGTGAACTTTGTTCATTTTAGGAGGGTATCATAATAATAATCTCAGTTCCTACATCTTTCTGATATTGTAATTTCAATGAGTTGTCCTTTTCAAAATAATTTTATGATATTGTTACCTCTTTTCCTTAAGGTGAACAATATCGCTGCACACTGCTTTGCTAGAAGTCTAATGATAAATTCCTATTCTGATGTATTATTTCTAATATATAGCCTAATTAAGAGTTGACCGAAGTATGTTAAAATTTTGAATGTCAAATATTTATGTGTGTTTGCATATACACTATATTTTTACTTTAAATCTCTGAATTTTTAAATAGCTCTCATAGATTTTTTTTTAATTTAAAATTTTTATAGAGACAGAGTCTCACTATGTTGCCCAGTCTGATCTCGAACCCCTGAGTTCAAATGATCCTCCTGCTTCCACCTCCTAAAGGGTCAGGAATATAGGTGTAAGCCACTGAGCCTGGGGCTTAGATTTCTTGGTATAAGAACCTAAGATGACCCTATAGTAGAGATATATTTGATATAATTTAAAATATTTTAATAAAAATTAAAATTTTAGTATCCATAAATTCAAATACTTTAATTTGATGAAGGATATTTTCTTTAATAGTTGTCACTGTTTAGTTGATTTCCATTGTTCTTGTGATCTATATTTTTATTTTATTAAAAATTTTCTACATTTTCTTTTCTTTAAAGTTATGACCTTTAAACTTCACAAGATTTGCACTTGATAAACTTCAAAAGATTTGCACAATTTTGGTACTCAGTATTTTAAAAATTATTAAATCAGTGAACAAATACTTTGTTTCTAAGATATTAATACCTACCACCTACCTGTAAATGGCATTTTAAAGCAGTATTTTTAAAGCTTAAGAAAACTTATATATAGTACTACATTTTAACTTCAGAACCTGTTAAAAGATGAAAAATGCTGTGTAAAAGATAGTCTCATTGCTAGCTGTACAGTACTATAGCACTTTTAACTGTTGCTTCACTGAAAAATTTTTCTCATATATAAATACAAAGTGGAAGATTTTAAGCAACTCGCCTTAATGTTAGTAATAGAATATGTTCTATATGATACTGTCAGTTTATAGACAAGACTTGTGAAAAGTCTGAATTAGCTTTATTTGTTTTACAAATGGTAATCCATTTACAGACCATTTTACCTAGGAGTCTTTTCCATAATCCATCTTGGTGCATTTATATAAAGATATCTACCTGCAACTTTATTAGAAAAAAATATATGTGCAGAGAGAAAGAAAAAAATAGAATAGATATAGCAAAAGCTAAAGGCTTACTTTTTCTTAAGTGTTAAAATTCATCGATTATATCCGTCATGATAGTGATTCAATGATCAAAGAAATGGAAATGAATGGAAAACAAAGTTGGAGCAAAATATAGAAGAGTAAATATCATATTCGTGAATTAGAAACATATTCAGTTTTATCATCAAGGCAAATTTATTTGTTTAAAACAGTGGCCAATAGTCTTTTCTGTGTGAGGGCTAATTTCAGTATTAATAAAATTATGAATCAATTATTTGATATTGAAAATTACATACTTTTTGGGTCAGGAAATGCTGTCTGTCTTCAGTATTCAGTATAGAAGCATTCTTCTATTGCATATCCATCTCTGAGTTGATTCTGCCTTTGCCTGAAATTTCAGAAACTTACTCTTGAAATAACTATATGGCATAATTATACTGTTGTATTTGAATGAATTTTGTTCTTGAGCAAAACGCTTTCTGAACCTGGTTTTTTTGGTCTTGTCTCAACTATTTTTCTAAGCTACATAATGATAAACACTGTTTCATTTTCTTTTAGCATTATATATTTTATAACGAAAGGTTTTGTTTCCATCTCAAATAAGAACCCTTCTACAAACAAGCCTTGGGCCACTTTGAAATAATGTGAACTTTGTCATATACCTATTTTTTTAAAGAGCAGCGCTTCTACTTGCTAAGGATTTACATTTTATATAACAAATATTTATATTCCTTCCCATTACATGTTTCACTACCTCATTTTTTCCCCCTTCCTTCTGGGGTTGTCAGTGAGAACTCTTAACCAACCAGGAAAATGAACTGACTAATTATCCTCCATCAGTCAAGTCCTGCCTATCTCCTAAGGAGTAGGTCGGCTTGAAGCTACAGAGAACACTGATTGCTGGGTCTTGGCAGCTTTGTCTCTGGGCCTGCCTTTTCTCATCTGTAAAATGAGAGTTGTTGAAATTTGAGTACAGATAGCTTGGAATATAGTGGATTGTTTGGTCCAGATATTTCTGGTTGCTTTTAACTTGTCTGGAATGGCTTAATTGTATTAAATTGTAATTAAAGCAATTAAATCCTACAAATAAGTGAAAAATTTAAGAAAATTTTCCCGTGGTCTTTCACAGCCAAAATGAAAATCAGGACACAGAGGCTAGCCTATTAACAACTTTTAAAAAACATAACAAACATAATCTAGGCCAGGCATCGTGGCTCACAACTGTAATCCCAATGCTTTGGGAGACCAAGGCAGGATAATTCATTGGGCCCAGGAGTTCGAGACCAGTCTGGGCAACGTAGCAAGATCTGGTCTCTACAAAAAAAAAAATAAATAAATAAAAACATTATTTAAGCCTGGTGACGTGCGCCTGTAGCCTTAGCTACTCACAAGACTAAGGCAGGAGGATCACTGGAGCCCAAGAATTTGAGGTTGCAGTGAGCTATGAATACATCACTGACCTCCAGCCAGGATGATAAAGTGAGACCCTGTCTCTTAAAAATCAAACACACACAAAAACCCTATAAATTGAGTTTCGTGATATTTTCAGTAATTGTTTCTCACCGTATATGAGGGATTGGTTAAGAAATGCCATAAATCTGGTCATGATATGCTTATTTGGTACATTTTTTGTAGTAAAATTTCTTTCAGTCAGATTTTCATGGAAATTGTTTTTACTTTGATAAGTTTTTAAATCTATAAATCACAAATAATATAGAGAACTTTGTTTTAGGCCAGAGATAGTAAATATGGTTTAAACATTAGGAATTGATGTTATTTGCAATGAAAAGCATGCTATTCTGATATACATTTAAATGTTGAGAAATTTCATTTTTGTTTGTTGTAGTTATAGCAAGTACATTATGTTCTAATATAAGCTTTAACTAGCGTACCAAGTTAAAGATCCTTTTGGATATGTTTTTCCAAATTTAATATTTGTTTAAAATGTTATGGAAGTAAGAGAATAGAGTGAATGGCAGATGCGTAGATGTGGCACAACTGTATGTACCTCCTTCCTTTCATTTTTCACGTCACATTACTAGCTATATGTGTTTGTCTTGTATTGGTTTTATAAAGGATCTAAGTGTTTGGAAAGGTGTGAGACCATTTGCTATTGGAGATTTCAGTGTTTGACTGTGAGAGAAGGAAATGTTATTTTTTGGGAATGTTATTTCAGAAATTTGGCTTTGGAGTTTTCCGATATTATTATACTAGCAATTTCCAAAAAATACGGCAAAAATTTCTAGTACTTTTCCAGTTGGTGATTTGTTAAACAAGAATTGGAAGCTGTAACAAATAAAACAGTGTTTTTGATAGAGTAGGCATTTAGTCAACGTTGGTTAAACTGACCAACATTTTATATAATATGTAAGTGCTGCTCTCATACAGGGAAGAAAACATAAAAGTTTTAACAATTCTTAGGCAAAAAAAAGAATGGCTACATTTCAAAATGTATTTGTTTATAACTTTTAGAAAAGTTAACATTAAAAAATTTGTATTTATTTTTAAAGTTGGAAATTTTCTGAGCCATATTGTCCCAAAGTGAGTGATTTTTTTCTTAACCAATCTTGTAAGTTCTGAGGTGCATAGCCAGCAAGTTCAGTCAAGCCGTTGCTCATCTTTGAGGTCTATTATACTGATTAGTTTATTATATCTGAGAAAGAATGATAGAGGTAAAAGTAAACAGGGAACAATTTCTGCTCACATATTTCTATGACTTACAGACACCTTAGCCTCTCCAACACAGTAATCTACAAGGAACTAGTTTCGTTTAGGTGCCAAGTGTAACTCATATTTATCTTAACAGTTCATTTATTTAGTAGGTAAAAGTAGTGGTTACTGCTTCAAAATTATATGTAGCCATCTTAGTTGGGCTATTCAGTTTGGAATTGTAAACATGATGGCAGGTTTCTTAAATATCTGTGTGTTGTTGTTGTTATTTTTTTTAAAGAGATTTCCCAAAGTTGCAGATGGCTGGCTCATCTCCAAATACCTCTTCAAGGTACTCTATGCTGGTGATGTCTCCCGCCACTGAGCTGCACGGGAGCATGGAATTGACTTTCGGGGGAGGGCTGTATCAGTTAAGTGATCTTTTTTAGTACATTGCATGGGTTTTGTGAAGCTTCCTTTTTTGTGTGTTTTTGTTTTTTTAAATCCAGAGGGCACAAGTATGCTTATGCTAAATTTTAAAATTAAAATCTTGTAAATCCACACAATATAATAACCTATTTACTTTTTAAGTGCTGTATAATAATAAATATTATGTGTGTAGTAGAAGCTAAGGGAAGCTGTATGAATATTCCAGTCTCAGTAAAACACAGATGTGGCACTGTAAATAATAACTGCTTTTTCATTCTTGAACCATTAGTGGGAATGTATTTCTTAGTTTCCTTTCTCCCAGGTAGAATGCATACCTTTACTTACTTATTCAAAACTTTTTTTAATTGAGTTTCTTCTATATGCAAAACACTGCTGGACCTCTGTACTTATGATCTAGCTTTCTATATTTTTTGTTTGGAAAAGCAATATAGTCATTATTTTTAAATAGTAGAACAAAGGAAAAAAAGTAAAAAACAAATGTCATTTCCTTAATTTTCATTCCCACAATTAATCCTTTCAAGCAATTCTGTTTTATGTTCTGTACCTATAGTCTTAATCACTACTGACACGCATTATACTTGATTTCTTCAGGGTACACATTTATGTGTAGCTCTCTGTGTGGACTTCAGCCGTCATGTACGATTTCATTCCACCAGTACTTTAAGCCTTATGTTAATAATGCTGGTGAAAGGAAAAAAACAAAACGTTTGTTCTCCATTTCAGAGACAGTAAAATTACTGGGATAAAAAAGTCTATTAAATTGATTCAATATTCAGATTTTTGCTGAACCTGGTCATCTTAATCTTTCTGTTTTGGAAAATTGAGAGTTGACTAATTGTTATGGTAGAGACACATACTTTAGATTTTTGTATAGGTTTGTGATAAATTCCTTACTAGTGAGCTAGACATTACATTGTCAATACCAAAGGAAAATAGTTACATTTTGTAGATGAGTAACTGATTCATAGTGCCTAAATGGTATACTTGAAGTGTCCTGTAAGTAGCATGTAGAACTAGCAATGTAAGTACAATTCAGTATCTAATGTAGATTCTGACTTCCTCAGATTCAATTTAAAGTGTAACTAATTATTTTTAAGTACTTATAATTGTTCTATTTTTTAGAACATTAATTGAGATTTTTAGTTAGAAAATGGATCAGTGTCATAATTTTACCTTCAAAGCTGGATGTTCTAATAAATATAAACCTCAACTAATAATAGTACCTTTTTAAAGGAAAAGTTTCTGACCTTTTATAGAAATGGAAATTTTCTCTGTTTGATAAAATAGTGGATAATATTAAACTGGCTTTTATAAATTAACAGTAAGAAACTTGGGATTGCTGCTACAAAGTTTAAAGTGAGAAGTCCACAAGTTTTTTAAAGGAACCAATTTTCTTTAAATATCTGAAAGCTTTTTCAGTGACATCAGAGTGGTTTATTAAAATGTGGTAGGACTATCTTGTCTTTTGTTGATTGTCTAGACGAATAGCAGCTCAAAGGTAATAGTCTTTAATATTGTCAAGTAGGTGATATATTTTAACTCTAACAGAACTTTCTTTTGTGAAATCAGTTTTTCATTCACTGTTTACATAGCTAAGCACTATTACTAAAGGTGGTGAAATAAGTCACTTAAGAGATTCATTTATATTTTTATTATATTGTGAAAAGATGATGTGTCAGCTACTGCTTAGTAGAGAACCACTTTAGAAAATTTAATTTCTGTTCTTAGAAGGTCTTATTCTGGCCATAAAATAAGACACAAACAGAACACAGACATATTGCAAAGTGTAAATGGGTAACTCACTTCAAGAGTATAGAAGAGTAATTTTAGGGTAACATTGGACCCTAGAGATGACAGGCAACTTTTGGGTCCTGAAGATGAGGCAATTTAGTTGGAAACATAATCACATAGCTGGTCAGTAACAGATTGTCTTTTAGTCTAGCAAACTTTTCACCATTTGTTTCTGTGCCTAAAGATGAATAGAGTTGGATTGATGGGATGGGAATACATTTTTAAAAGCTTGTTTAACTTTTTCATTGGTAAAATGTTAACTTCCAAGAACACTTATAATTGAAAGCATGTTGTATACGTATATTCATTGAGAACTTTAAAAAGAGAATTGTTATTGACAGCATATCTCATCTTTGGAATAACATTTCTTCAAGATACAGAGTAGTCAGTTTCTTGCTATATGATTGTCTTTTGTGATTACTTTTAAAGGAAGTCAAAGTATTTGGGGAGTGGTATTACTTCAATATTTATTTTTAAAGGCATGAGTAGCTTATAACTTTGTTTTTTAATTTTCCTGTTAAATACAGGTTATAGACTTTTACTAGCAGTTAATCTGTATTTACATAAAAGTGATTTTCAAATAATATAACAGATAACTCATTGAACACATCTGTTATATTGAAGTAAATTAAACCCTTTCTGTAGCTGCAGAAATTATTTAATTATTTAGGTGAAATCCTAGGAAATACAGACAATTTACATGAAAGCTTGTTTGGAGGTTCTAGCAAGATAATTTACCTTCTCTTGAAGAATATCTTTCTGAATGTGAAAAATTCAGTGTCTTGAATTAAGAGCTTCACTTTGGAAGTGATGCACATGGAAAAGGAAGGATACCAGAATCAAGCCAAGTCATCCTCACATCTAATGTGTAGAGCAGATAAACGTGTTATGAAGATCTTGCCGGTTGACTTATGGCCCTACAAGTCATGATGATATGCAATCCTGTTAATTGCTTAGTTTCTCAGTTTGTAATCTGGGAAGTCTTTTCATTATCTTTTGGGTAAAAGTCCTTGTAGATAGTGTGCCCTACCTATAGCAGGAGTTCCAAGGATTTAGTGCCCACTCCTTCTCTGTTTAACCTAACTCTAGTTTTCTAGTTTTTCTGTCTCTGTTTTCTCTCCTCCAAAACAGGGCTTTTTTTTTTTTTAAATACTCTTTGGTTTTCAACAGCTCTACTTTGAAACATCCTACAAATTATTTTCTTCAGGCATCTGAAACTAAAGAGAAGGTTTAAAATAACATTGCAGAAAAGCAAACCATGCCCTATGCCAAAGTCCTGGACCCTTGTACATTTCCTTAAAAAGGAAAGTCTTCTTGTTCATGGGCAACCTATGCTTTATCTTTCTCCGTGGTTACCTATCTGGATTACCACTATAGGTGGTTGCCATTGGCTAATAAAATGTTGTATTTTCCCTTGCCTATTTCTCTGACTTCTCTTTCCCATATTGTCTTTTTAGAGAGACTTAAACTCGCCACAGAATCTTGCTGATACTCTTTCCTTAATATTCTTTCCAGTGTGTAGTACTTCATTACTTGAAGAAAGTCTGGCAGCTGTAGCTCTCATTTTGAAATTATAGAATGATCCCAAATAATAGAAGGCAAGAAAAATGAGTTGAAGTTAGAAACATTTGAGGAAGTAACTTTGCAATGGTTGATAATGGGAGTAAAGTTGGATTAGGGAGTAAATTTGGAAGATTTCTCTAGATTCCAAAGCAAGTAATGTGAAGAATTTAACTTTGCATCTCATTCCTACTTCATTTCGTGATGCAAGGAGAGCTTGGTCCCTGTAACTACTTGTGTGATTACAGTAATAACAATAGTAATAATTAACACTTATTTTGAATTTAGTATGCACTAGACTCTTTGCTACTTGCTGCACATACATGATCTCATCTAATCCTTACAACAGTACTATCCAGTAGGTACTATTATTATTTTCAATTTACAGAAGAGGCCCAGACTCGTAGAGTGAACCTAAGTCATTTTTTCAAGATCCTGTAGCTAGAAAGTGATCTAGTTCAGGTCCACCTGACTCAAAGCCCATGTTCTTAACCACCAGTCACCCTGCTTCCCCTCCAAATGGCTAACAAATTGATGACATGAAAAGTGTCCTAGAGACAAACTATATTGAGGTATTATACCGGGAAATTTTTAGTTAAAAGAAGAAAAGGAGCAGAAGAAAGTGATGGAGAGAGATTAAGAGGGAGAAATCTGTAGATTTCTATTTGTAAGTAGCAAAATTTTATTTTATTTATTATTTATTTATTTATTTTTTTGAGATGGAGTCTCACTCTGTCATCCAGGCTGGGGTGCAGTGGCACGATCTCAGCTAACTGCAAGCTCTACCTCCCAGGTTCATGCCATTCTCCTGCCTCAGCCTCCCGAGTAGCTGGGACTACAGGCGCCTGCCACCACACCTGGCTAATTTTTTTGTATTTTTAGTAGAGAGGGGGTTTCACCATGTTAGCCAGGATGGTCTTGATCTCCTGACCTCATGGTCCGCCAGCCTCGGCCTCCCAAAGTGCTGGGATTACAGGCGTGAGCCACCACGCCCAGCTGCAAAATTTTATTTTTAAAGAGGCATTGAATTATATGGTTATTTGAATAAAGATTTATAGATGCATTTGTTTTTATTTATATAAAGAAAAATATATTTGTGCAAAATATTTGATGTTTGTAATCATGCAAACACTAGCAGACAATAGTTACCAAAACTATTGCTATAAAAAGATACTAATTGGATTTTTTTAATTAATTTTTTGTGTTCATTGCAATTAAGATTATCTGTGTTGTGCTGATTTATCAACTTAATTTTTCAACAAATATTTATTGAGTGCCTACTGTGAGCCAAGCAAGCACTGTGTCAAGTGTTAGAGATTGATCTAAAATAAGAAAAAATTCCTGTCTTAGTGATCTTACCGCCTAGTATGTGAAATAATCAAGTAAAGAAATAATCTTGAGGAGAAGTAAGCACAGGGTGCTGTGCCAACAGAGGGACTAGCTGTTGGGATCATGCATGGGTTTCTGGAAGAGGAGGCCTTTAAAACGCCCTAAATAATGAATAGAAGTTATCTATCATGACTTTTAGGATTTCTGTTGGTTGATTAATAATAAGTACATCACTAGAAATACTAGAGGGAGATTTTTAAAAATTCAAATGGCTACGTCTTCCCCTAAAGATTTTGATTATTCAGTTTGTGGGGAGGCTAGACATGAGTATTTTTAAAAAGTAGTCCAGTTATACTAATGTTCTGCCATGGTTTGGAACCACTCAGATACTATCTCAGACATTGGTCCTAAAATGGTGCTTTCTGACAAGAACACTTCTTGATGTTGCTACAGAGAAGTAATTACTGAGGAAGGGAGAATTTAAAATACATTATTAATTCATGATGATAAGAGAACTTATTTCAAAATATAAAAGCAAATCTTTCTACATGAAGATTAAACAACTTTCCTAGGGAAGACTAGTCATTCTAGACAACTAAAGAAAGTATTAAGATGTCTCTCATATTCCACTTAAAAATACTGAGTGTAGAAAATGTTTCCTGTGAACCTAATATTCGGAGTCCTGCATAGAATTTTTTTTTGACAGAATCCTGCTCTGTCAAAACCCAGGCTGTAGTGCAGTGGCTCAATCTCAGCTCATTATAACCTCCACCTCTAGGGTTCAAGTGATCCTTCTGCCTCAGCCTCTCTCAAGTAGCTGGGATTACGGGCACACACCACCACGCCCAGCTCGTTTTTGTATTTTTAGTAGAGATGGGGTTTCACCAGGTTGGCCAGGCTGGCCTCGAACTCCTGGCCTCAGGTGATCCACCCACTTTGGCTTTCCAAAGTGCTGGGATTACAGGCGTGAGTCACCATGCCTAACCTACATAGAAATATTAATACTAATATAACCTATGCACAATAGAACATTTGGTCATGAACGGATACATAGTTAGCCAAATCTGAAAGGTTACAAGTTTTTCATGAGTTCTTGACTGGAAGAGAGCAAACAAATGACAGTTAAAGGGGAGCTTTATAGATGAGAATGGTTGGGTAGGTGGTTATGCATTATTAGTGAATATAGGATGCTAATTGATTTTATTTATTTATAAAGCAAACCACACATTGTATACCCTTTTTGAAGTATCGTTAATGAAGAGGAGAAAAGAATTATGGTGGTGGATTTTTTTTTTTTTTCTGTTTTTCTAAGTAGAGAAAGGTTTAGAATTCAACTGGTGACATTTATTAATGCTTAACTAGAAGTACAGGAAGGTTTCCTGTGTGCTGTTTAAATGACTGTATTAGATAATAGGATGTTAAATGGCAAGATATTTCTAGTATCTAGTCCCTTTCATTTAGTTTGGTTTTATTGTTGACAAACTGTGATCCAGACTCATTAAGTAAATTAAGTAAATTTTCCAAAGTAACACCACTAGTTAAAGATAGAATAGGACTAGATTTGAGGCTTTTTAACACTTAGATTGGTGGTGCCCTTGCCATTATAGCCCACTGTATTACCTTTATTTTTCAGAATTTTATTGTTCTTGCATTTTCAAGTCTAGTTTTATTTTACTTTTTAAAATTTTGTATCATAATTTGTCTCCTGAAGGTCAAGTAACCTGGTTTGGTTATGAAAGTCCTCGTAGTTTCTGGGACTATATCAGAGTGGCTTGCCGGAAAGTTTCACAGAATTGTATCTGCAGCATTGAAAATATGGAAAATGTCAGTTCTTCTAGAGCTAAGGTAAGACATTGGTCAGAGGCTCATTTCTATTTTTTTTTTTCATTGCATATATTTGGAATAGCAGGAAGGTGTGAAGCTACTTATTATGAATTTCCTTTTCTTAAGAAGCATAATAAAATACTTCCTGTTCTGTGATGTTTCTACATTTCTTGAATTATCTAAACTAGTGGCTCTCAAATAATGTTCAGCAGAACCCTGAAGATGTCCAAGGCCCTTTCTTTAATGGGTACATAATGACAAAAGTATTTTATATAATATCAACATGTTATTGGCCTTTTCCCTTTTCACTGTGTTGACATTTACACTGCCAATACAGACACAATGGTGGATAAAACTGTTGGAACCTTAGCACGAATTAATGCAGTGACATCAAACTGTGCAAGCAGTCTTGAGTTCTTCCCCACCATGCAGTTGGTATTTTCTTTTAAATATGGTTTCAACTTAAGAATGACCATGATGGAAACATTAATTCTTATTAAATCTCAACTTTGAGGATCTGTCTTTTTAATATCCTGAGTAATAAAATGGGAAGTATGCATAAAGCATTTCTGCAACGTACTGAAATATGATGGTTGCTTCAAGAATGACACTTGTATAATTCTTTGAATTGTGAGCTGAAGTAGATATTTTTAAATGTAATATGATTTTACTGAAAAGAAAAACTTATAAACCATAATTTTTTGGACTTAGGCATTTGGCAGATATTTTCTCAAAAAAAAAAAAAAAAAAAGAAGAAGAAGAAGAAAGAAGTGAGCCTATTACTTCAAGGAAACAGCTGACAGTATTTGTTGCCAATGGTGAAATTAAAGCTTTTAAGTAAAAACTAGAATTTTAGAAACTTATATTCACCATCTTAAGCTTCATAACTTCCCAATTTAGAAAAGCTTTTTTAAAACATTGATGTTGATATCAACAAATTTATTTTTAAATTATTTAATGAACTGTGTCAACATTGGATAGAACTGCATAACTTGTATTTTCCAAATGATCAATTCATGAAATTACAAAATCATGTATGGGTAAAAAGATCAATTCAAAGTGCAAGGTAGGTCAGTAGATTTAATTTACTAGTATGAAAAAGTCACTAATATGATTACAGAAATTTATCACTTAGTGAATTTTGATCTAGAACAAAAGATAATATCTATACTTATCTGAAAAGACTATTAAAAGATTCCCTTTCCAACCATATATCTGTGTGAAGCTAGATTTTCTTCATATACTTCAACCAAAACAACACATTGTAACAGATGGAATGCAGAAGCAGATATCTAATTCTCTTGTATTATGCCAAATGCTAAAGAGATTAGGAAAAAAATGTAAAACAGTGATACTTTTCTCACTAATATTTTTGCCTGGAAAAAATAGTTACTTTTCATAAAAATATGTTATTTATGTTAACATGTAATGGGTTTATTGTTATGTTTTGTTTTGTTTTATATTTTATTTTATTTTATTTTATTTTTTACAGACAGAGTCTTGCTCTGTTGCCTATGTTGGAGTGCAGTGGTACTATCACAGCTCACTGCAGGCTAGAACCCCTAGGCTCAAGTGATCCTCCGACCTCAGCTTCCTGAGTAGCTGGGACTACAGGTGCATGCCACCATGCCTGGCAAATTTTTAAAATTTTTTCTAAAGATAATGTCTTTCTTTGTTGCCCAGGCTGGTCTAAGAACTCCTGGCTTTGAGCAATCTTTCTGCTGCAGCCTACCGAAGTGCTGGATTACAGGCGTGGGTCACCATGACCGACTTGTTATTTTTGAATTACCTAATATTTAAGTTTCAAGTTTTGACTTGTGATACAGTAAATTTGGTAGATATATCCTACATAAAACTTCTTTGGGGTCCTCAGTAACTTTTAAGATTGTAAAATGTCTGAACTATTAAGTCAAACAGATTGAACATCCCAAAACTGAAAATGTGAAATCTGAAATGATCTCAAAACTAAAACTTTTTGAACACCACCATGATGTTCAAAGAAAATGCTAAATGGAGCATTTAATGCAAATATTCCAAAATAAAAAAAAAACTCAGAATCTGAAATACTCTTGTCCCAAGCATTTTTGAAAAAATATACTTAAGCTGTATCAGCTTTTTGTATTTATTTTTATTGAATTGTCAGAGTAGCTTTACTATTTTGACATTTATAAATTACAGAATGAAAGATTAAGTAGAAGATAAATATTGAAAATTGGTATTTACAGTTTTAAGATGAAGACATCATTATTTCACAATTATAGAATTATAAATTATATATCTATGTAATAAGCTAAAGTATAATAATTATCTTTCCAAAGTATAGTTAGTTTTTTGTTCTTGCATCCTTTTTTATTTAGGATTTTTTTTTCTCTTGGAAAATGTTTGTTCAGCAAAATTGATGAAGATATGTTCTAATTAAATATTTTGTAAGCATGAACTGAGTATATGTTTTAAAAACCAAAATCTATAATGTTTAAATGTAGTGACATAATTAGAAACACAGGTAAAACATTTTTAGCTCCTTAATATGAAAGTATATTTTTGGATGCAGTTAATAGCTATGATTTTTGTCACCTTTTTGAGACTATAACTATAAAGTTCACTTGCTAAAGCCACTGCTCCTTCCTGCCAGTCTTCAACCAAGGGGTTGTAGCAACAAGGAACTTCCTGCTTCAATATCTTTCAACTCTCTTAGGCTGGATCAGTTTTCTTCTCTGTCTCACATGTTTTTAAACCAGTACACTTCTTCATTTGTAAAATAATTATAGTTAGATTTTCTTTTTTTAATTAAATTTTTCCTTCAGATATTTAAATCCTATTTTTATTACATATTAACAGATGTCTTTTTTGTCCCAACTATTGTCCTTTGACGTGTTTCCTCAAACTACTGAATTTTTAATTAATTTATTTACTTTTTAATTTTTGAACTACAGATTTTTAAAATATGCAATGTGAATTCCCCTTTGCATCTTAGTTGAGTTTTATCAGTTTTCCTTTTTTTTTTTTTTTTTTTTTTTGAGACAGAGTCTTGCTCTATCTCCCAGGCTGAAGTGCAATGGCACGATCTCAGCTCACTGCAACCTCTACCTCCCGGGCTCAAGCAATTCTCCTGCCTCAACCTCCCAAGTAGCTGGGACTACAGGCATGTGCCACCACACGTGGCTAATTTTTGTAATTTTGGTAGAGATGGGGTTTCACCATATTGGCCAGGCTGATCTCAAACTCCAGAGTTCAAGTAATCTGTCCACCTCGGCCTCGCAAAGTGCTGGGATTATAGGCGTGAGCCACAGCACCCAGTCTCAGTTTTCCTTTATGTTTTCTTTATGACTTAAGAATTGTATCTAGGTTTCTTTTTGCTAAGGTTTAGGCTAAGGTTAAACATTAGCTGTAATTTGAATGAATCAAATCTACAAGAAGTATTCTAGATGCTACATAAACGTTCTCAGTTTCAAATCAAAAGTAGGAGAGAGGAACATAACAGTATATTCTAAACCCTTTCAATAGAGGGAAGGATATATTTATAAAACTAGCATATCCCAAAATACAAAAAGTAATTAAGAAGTTAACAAACATTAGAAATATAGCATTTGGACCTGGGTGGAAGAAAGAAACCCAAACCCTAGCTGACCAACTCTCTTAACAAGGCTCTTGGAACTAATCCCTGCACAGCAAAATATTATTCAGCAGAGAGTTAATATTTATTCTGTGAAGTATTGGTATTGAGTATCAAAACACCACAGAACAATCGTGTTCCAAATCCAGCATTTATATCTTTATTTTGCTCAGGCCTCAAACAGATTCCATTTAGTGGGGAAAGAGAATTCTTTGAGTTGCCTGGTTATACTGGGAAGAGTCTGTGGAGGAAGAGGAGGAAGACAAGCTCTTTGTCTTTATTAATTGCAATGAAAAGAGCAGTTTATTTAATCTACTCAGTAAGTCACATCTGTCATGTGTCTGGATTGAAGAATTAAACAGATGCCTCAGATGGCAGGCTTATTGAGGCTTAGAGCTGCAATCTTGAATGACTACTAGCATAGTGTCATTTTACCTTGACACATGTGAAAAGATATTTCAGAACTGAAACACAACTAAATTTGCCTGGTGAACAATATACAGCTCAGTACACTTGTATCACAATTCTATCATGATTATCTGTCCTGGTACCACTTAGATTAATATCGTAGAAGCTTGTCACCATAGACAATCTCATACTTTTGTCTAGGTTAAGATCGGGGGCCAGGTGTGGTGGCTCACGCTTGTAATCCCAGCACTTTGGGAGGCCAAGGCAGGTGGATCACCTGAGGTCAGCAGTTCAAGACCAGCCTGGCCAACATGGTAAAACCCTATCTCTACTTAAAATATGAAAAATTAGCCAGGAGTGGTAGCGCATGCCTGTAATCCCAGCTACTCTGGAGGCTGAGGCAGGAGAATCGCTTGAACCCGGGAGGCAAAGGTTGCAGTGAGCGGAGATCATGCTATTGCACTGCAACCTGGGCAACAGAGTGAGACTCCATCTAAAACAACAACAACAACAACAACAACAACAACAACGAAATGCTAACCATTCCCTTTCTCTGCTAAGTCTGTGACTAGTTTAGCCTATTTCATTAGACTTAAACATAGCCTAAAAATAGAATAAAACATTTGAGTTGAGGATCATGTTTGTAATCTTTGTATCTCCAATACATTTGCAGCTATTTTGGCAGTCAGTCAGAGTACTAGAAAATCTCCTCACACAATTTAGGGGACTATTTTTAGGCCTTTTTTTTGCATTAATCTTCTTAATTTTCCTTACTCCAAAGATATAGTCTTTCAGGGGCCTCAAGTAAAAACCTGGAGTGTTTACAGTTGCCTTTCACCTTGTTTACCCTTGAACTCTAACCTCTGTCTCTCCAGAAATAGACTGTGAAATCGTCAATCAGCTGTTTTACCTCTTCCCTGCTGCTTTCAGCTTTGTTTATGGGACTTTGCTTTGAGCTACAGATGACTTAAGTTGGCAACGACCCCATAGGAAAACTGCATGCACAACTCCAGGCACATTTGTCTGCAGTTCAGTGGCAGTTCCAAGCTCCAACTTCTGTTTATCTGCCCAGGGAAATAAAAATCCCCACCTCCACGGCTTTCTGTTTAGTCTCTATACCTAGGATGTGAATAGACAAATAACTTTAGGCTAAAGCCAAGATGAATGTGCGGCTCAGCTCATGTAACATCCATCTCTCCAGGACTGTGGCCACTCAAGTTCTCATGCCTTGGTTGCTCTCTTATATCTTAAATTTGTTACTTCACTTATTTTATTCAACTTTTATAGTTGTTCTCAGCAGTAGGTCCCTCTGATACAAGATACTCTGTTATCACTGGAACCTGATCGTTTTCTTACCTCTGGGATCAACTCTGTTTTAGACTCCAATTACACCCTTCTAAATAAATTCTCTGCTTCTACTCCTCCCTTCAATTTATTATCCCTTCAGCACCAAGTTGATCTTATAAAATGCAAATCAGATTACAGTATTCTATCAATTAAAAAAACTCTCAAGTAGCTCCCCCACTGCACTGAGAATAACATCTGAACTTTTAATCATGGCCATATCTTGTATTCTGCACCTTGCTTACCGTGCTCAATATTTGCACAGCAAATTTGTTGGATGGAAGGATGCATGGATATATGGATGGCTGATGTGACTAGCATATTCAGAAAGTGGTCTAATTCAACAACAGAAGGAATGTACAAGATAAGCAACCAGAAACCTAAGAAAGCCAAATCTAGCTAAAAACAAGAACTGCTATTAAATCTACTCTGGAGAAAGGTAGCCTCAGAGTTGCTGTAAAGTTTCATACAGAATATCCAGTATACAGTAAAAAATCATCATGCACATCAAGAAACAAGATTGAATGACTGTAATCAAGAAAAATAAAAAAGACAATTGAAACAAACCTATGGGTGATAGAGATTATGGACTTCTAAGCAATTATAATAGGTTCAAGAAAATGGAAATATGAATATTATGAGAAAACTGAAATACATAAAATTACTAGATTATTGGAATATGTTAAAATTCGAAGGCCAGGTGTGATGGCTCACACCTGTAATCCCAGCACTTTGGGAGGCCAAGGTGAGCAGACCAGTTGAGCTCAGGATTTCTAGACCAGTCTTGGCAACATGGTGAAACCCAGTCTATATAAAAAATACAAAAATTAGCCAGGTGTGGTGGCACACACCTGTAGCCCCAGATACTTGGGAGGCTGAGGTGGGAGGATCACTTGAGTGAGCTGAGATCGCACCACTGCACTCCAGCCTGGGTGACAGAGCAAGACCCTGTCTCAAAAAAAAAAAAAAAAAAAAGAAAAGAAAAACAAGACAAAACAAAAAAAACACATAAAACTACAAAATATACAGTCACACACACAGAGGAGTTATACTAAATTGACCATTTTCTGAGCCATAATTTATCTCAGTGAATTTCAGAGTATTGAAATTTTATAAAGTATGTTATCTAACCACAGTGGAATTAAGCTAGAATCAAAAATAAACAAGGAAATAATAACAAGAAAATGTCTATATGAATGAAACTGAGGAGAACTTCTAAGTAATCCACGGATGAAAAAATAAATCACCGTTGAAATTGAAAAATATTTGGAAAGTACTGATAATGAAAATACAACATATAAAAAAAAACTTGTGCTTAGAGGAATAGGCTTAAATAGGCTTTTGTGTATTTTATAAAAGAATAGAAACTGGAAATTGGTGATCAAAAGTTTCATCTCAAGAAGCTGTGAAAAAAGATATACATTAAAGTCAAAGTAGAAGGAAAGAAATAACAGTAAAAATTCAATAAAATTGAAACAAATATGTAAGAAAATCAACCAAACTAAAAGTGTTTTTAAAAAGATTAATGCAATTTATAAGCTCCTAGCAAGACTATTCAAGAAGATCAAAAGATAATATAAATTACCAATATGAGGAATGAAGAAGAGGCCAAGTGTGTATATCTCACAGACATTAAAAATCCTAAAAAAGGATATTACGAATAACTTCACATCTATTATATAAATTTGAAAATTTAGAAGAAATGGGAAATTTCTTTTAAAAAATTACTCACCAAAACTAACACAAAAAGCATAGAAATATCTGAATATCTAATATTTGCTAAAGCAGTGTAATCTATAGTTAAAAATCATCCCATTGCAAACCCATTTTTAAATTGTTTTCTTATGGGTTTTTAAAAATTCATTGTATTTTATGGATAAGAGTTGTCTGTCAGATATTTATAATTTAATTTTAATTTTCCTACTCTGTGCTTTTTTTTTCTTTTTTTTTTTTTTAACTCTCTTAAATGCTAACAACTCATTCCCTGAAACGGGAAAGAAAGTGGAGTGTATAGGTATTAATATAATTAGGCTGGTCAGTTTGGTGGTAGTAAAATGAATTTCTTCTAATTGTGTCTGTTTTTCATTTGTGCATAAAGTAGGGATAGTGTTGTAACCTAACTCACATAATTATTGGGAGAATTACTTATCTTCTTAATGTATATAAAGCTCTTAAAACAGGCTTAGCACATATTAATTACATTTTTAAGTGCTGACTACTTTTACTTATTTATTTTTTCATAAACCTTCATTTTATGGATCACTATTATCAACTGAAAAGGTCTAAATTCCGTAATCTAGTTTTTAAGTTGTTCTACTTCTTGGCCCAAACAATCTTTATAAGTCTGTTTATCTTCTGTGCTAGTGAAAGTTCCTTTGTTAAAGAAAAGAAACCGTTAAAATTAGTGCAACTTATCCTTACAATATAACAGAATTCCATACACATTCAAATGCAGGAAGCTAAATGCAGCCCAGTTTTGTGTGGATTGAAATTAATAAATCAGGAAGGAAGATTTTCCCTACATTTCTTATCTAGTAACAGCATAGACTCCTGTGCTGAATTTTCTCTGGAGAGCAATTTTCCTGACTTCATTGGTGAAATTGTAACCTTTTGATTCAAGACACCACTATTAGTTTCTGTGTCTTTTAGATGAAATTTCAAGAGAGAATTTTGAGACTACTGGCCAGCCGGTAGCTTGCCTCTTCCTTCCTCTGTTCCAATCAACCACAGCTAAGCTAAAAGGGATGTTGAGCTTGATAGGTAAATTGACTTGCATGCTAACCACACGCGTATCATTCATTTTCTTCCCAGTAGTAGTACTGCTGCTTCTGGCCTGCATTCTACCACTGCCTAGATTGACTCCTTTGTGACTTTTCCTATCCCAGAGTTTGCTGAATTCACTACACTTGTAGACGTTTCTAGAGTATGTTTTTTTTCCCTTTCTGGCAGTTGACAATCGTGTATATTGATTAGTGTCACCTTTTTACTGCCATTGCAGTGTTTTGATTTTCTATATATTCAGTCTTTATGAAGTTTTTAAGAAATTTGTGAAAGAGTTGAGTGAAAATGATAATAATTGAATTATAAAATTCTTACTACAAATATGATCTCTTATATTCTTTAGTTCTAAATAGAAAGTCCTTAAGAAAATTAATTACATTTAATAAGAATTGTCTGTTTCTGTGATTCTGTGCTAGAATATGCTGGCTTCTGTTTTTTGTTGTTTGTTTTTCTAGTTTAAATATTTGGTAATAGCTTTTAGAATTCTCTGGGGACACCAAATTCAATAACTCATGATTTGGATTCATGATAAATCATGAAATTTGGATTTTATTACTAGTTGTATAAAACTTCCCACTGGAAGGACAGGATTGAAAATTTTCTTAAATAAGTGATGTTAAGACTGATTATCTTTATTAGTGAGAGAGAACTCTGTTTTTCATGATTTATGAGAGGGCTCATTTTAATTAGTTTGTTGATTTGGGGTATTGAAGTAGAGAGCTATATCATTACATTATGTAATTCAAAAGAAGTCTCTAACCCAAGTAGCTCAGCATTAATGTTCTGTCCCTTCAGAGGATAGAAAGTTAGTTTGACATGCTGTACCCTACCTATTCAGAAAAACAAAATATATACTCTAGATAATCAAAATTTATCTATTTTTATCTACTTAAATATTTTTTTTAGTCGTTATCAAATGTATATTTTGAATGGCTGTTTTTACATATTAAAATACTTATATTTTTGATGGCACAGTGACAAAATATTTTTTTAATTTTTTTTATATTTGATTCTTTTTTCTTCCTTTTAGGGTAGAGCCTGGATCAGAGTAGCACTCATGGAAAAACATTTATCTGAATACATCTCTACAGCTCTGAGAGACTTCAAAACAACCAGGTTTAAAAGTCCTTTTAATTTTCTAATATATATTTGAAAGAATCACCTAAAGACTTAAAAATCAGAATAGGATGAAGAATCAATTTCTAAAATCTTCAACCGTTTTATTTCCTCCTTTTGTTACTACTCAGATAAATCCACTGTCTTCTTAGGAAAATGTAATTTGTCAACTAAACATACATCTACCTTTCTGTAAAAAGATACACATTATACCTGGAATATCCTTTTTCTAAATAATTTCTGATTCGTACTCTTTCAACTCTTGAAGCTTCATTCTCTCCATAGACTGTTCCCTGATGGATTTGAAGATTTAACTATGAAATTTCAATAGCATCTTTTTTATTTTCACCACCACAGTGTTTCCTTATTTTTTTGCTTGTAAAGAATAGAAATTGGCCGGGCGAGAGGCTCACACCTATAATCCCAGCACTTTGGGAGGCCGAGGCTGGCAGATCACTGGAGGTCTGGAGTTCAAGACCAGCCTGACCAACATGGAGAAACCCCATCTCTACTAAAAATGCAAAATTAGCCAGGCATGGTGGTACATGCCTGTAATCCCAGCTACTCGGGAGGCTGAGGCAGGAGAATAGCTTGAACCCAGGAGGCAGAGGTTGTGGTGAGCCGAGATTGTGCCATTGCATCCCAGCCTGGGCAACAAGAGAGAAACTCTGTCTCAAAAAAAAAAAAAAAAAAAAGAATATAATTAATAATTTATTTAATTCATATGTATAATTAATTTTTGCTTATCTTTTTAGGACAATCTGAATCATTATTTTTCTTAGATTGTATAAAGATGACATCCTGTGCCATGTGAAAAATAGGACTTTGTTAATATTTTATGATGATAGAAAAAGGTACATATTAGGACAACAGTCATTCCTGATTAGCACTCAACTACTAATCTTTATTTGTTGCTGTTGAAGAAGCCACTTTTCTCCATATCAAAAGTATTTGTAAACGAAAAGGTTTAATAATTTTAATAACTTAGACATAAACTGTTCAATGTAGTAGCCACTAACACATGCCATATATAAATTTAAATTAATTAATATTACATAAAATTACGAATTTAATTTCTCAAGTGCTGTATCACATTTCAGATGTCCCATGGCCACATGTAGCTCATGGTTACCCAATTGGACAGATTTAGAGTGTTTTCCTCATCACAGAAGGTTCTGTTGGGCGGAGCTGCCTGAGATATTTCTAAATTATCATTCTTTTCTCTACCTCATTAATCATATTTCTGAAAGAAGAGAAAATAATTACAACTATAAACTAGTTTTGATAGAAAAAAATAAGCACAAAGAAATCATATCTCTGAGATCTTAAATTCCATATCCTAATGCAGGGTTTGACATTCTGGATTTTGAGAAAATCTGGGCATTTATTATGACACATTCTTTCAACTAACTAGCTGGTACTAATTAAGTATCTTTATTTAGTTGCCTCTATTTTTTGTGGTAATATAATAGTAAACTTTTAATTTTGAGATACAAAAAATATAATTGTCACGATTGTAAGTTTGACCAGGATAGAAAGACTTTTAGCTAAAAGTAATATTTGCATAAAGTAAATCTGATGTATACTTATTTAACTTCTTTTCAAGCAACGTGACACTTGAGATATTTCTAAAGATAAACAGTGAGATGATGATAAACCCTTAGACATTTGAAATGAACTTTATAAAATGAAACATTTGTTTACCATAACTAAGTTGCATTATGAAACTTAAGCATTGAGGATACTAAGGCTTTGAAAATGAAAACAAAGAATAGTATCAGAATCTAGTAGCTCAAATCTAAAAATCCTATGTTAATTAAATCAAAATCTAGTTTGCATAGTAATCATTTCCTATGCAATTACAATATTGAATCAAAGTTATGATAGTCTTTTCCAAATAGAAATTAAATAACTAATAATCTCTAAATTGTTAGTCTTCTTTCTTAGTTTAAATGATTGGGTGGGGTAGAAATAATTCTTGAATAGATTATTTTTAGAACAAGTAGTTTAAATATTTAAAGGAAATGCTTTCTGCCTTGTTCTTACGTGTTAACCATGCTTTTTCATAGAAAGGAAATGATTCAGCTCTAAAAAAGTACATGAAGTAAAAATATTCTTGTAACAATACATAAACATACAGTCTTCAAACAGAAACATGGCTTAGCGTACAATGTTCATATAGACGTGTCTAATACATAGATATATGCACACATGCATATAATATTTATACATATACATTTATTGAATAGTAGGATTTAAATGTGAATATAATGGCTTTGTAACTCTCAAAGGAAGTAAGTAGGGAGTTATTTCAGAATTTTTATCTTACAAGTTAACTAAAAAATGTGGAAAAAAATCTTATTTTTCTCCCTCTATTTACACTATCTTTTTTTTTACGGAGATGAAACCAAAGAAATTTCTTAATTCTAATTAAATTTGATTGCAAACTTCTAGTCAAGACAAGTATATTCATAAGATTAGATTTGTAAAATACAAACAATTAGAAAGAGTATTTGTGCCTTACCTTTTATCTGGATGCTTCCTGAAGTAAGTACTCCTAGAAGAATGAGAAATGATCTCTAATCTTTAGGAATCTAGAGAATATCTGAATAAAGTAGATTTCTTCATGTTCTACTCTTCACAGATAAAGAGTAATGATAGCCTTTAAAATAGTAATACAAATGTTTATCCCAGTACCAGAGGAGGAGCTTCATGAACTAAGGCAGGCAGGCTTGAAAGCACTAATCAGTGAAAACCCAAGGATAAGTTTGGGTGGAGGAAGGGTGGGAGTAGAGATAAAATAAATTTTGAGTACATGACTGTGGCTCCAAAGCATTGAAGAAATATGTGTGATCTTTTTGCTAAGGTGTAGGATGTCTTAATGAGCAGTTGTAAAAACAAACAAAAACCTTGAAGAGTTACATGGCTTAGGGGTTGGAGTATAATTGGAAAATAGCCAGAGTTGAGAAGTTGGCAGAGTGAAGATTAGAATCTAAGCTTAAAAAAAAAAAAAAAAGAGAGACTTGTTTTGGTAGGTTACTGGGAAGACCTTCAAATGAGAACTGACATAAAAACTGAATTAATTTGTTCAAATTTTTAATTTCTCTTTACCCACAGACTAAAAAATAATTAGTACATTTAAATTAAAAATACCATATGATATTTCAAACACAATTGAAAATGTAACAAGAATTTGAAGTAATAAATATGGAAAATATAAAGATAAATTAGCTTTATGGAAATTCATTTGTTTACTTTGCAATTATATCACAGTATTTAATTTATAATGAAAAAGTTGTCTTCAAAAGAAATATTAATTTTCACAATGTTTTAGCACAAATCGAAGGAAGCAGTAAAGTATAAAATAAAACTTTGTAAATTATTGAACTGTCACAAAGAGAAAAAATGAGATGACAAAACACTTTTCTCAATTACAGAAAAGTAAACAGAATAGTGATAAGTAACCAAAATCTTTTAAGAGTTAAGAATGCATTTTGGAATCTGAGTATGTATTAAAGTTTTACATTATTAAGATAGAAGATAAATTGAACATAATAAAAATTAAAACTTTGTGTTTCAGAGGACACCATGAAGAAGGCGAAAAGATGACAAACAGAATAGGAGACAATTTTTACAGATCATAATCTGATAAGGCAGCGGTCCCCAACCTTTTTGGCAGCAGGGACTGGTTTTGTGGAAGACAGTGTTTCCACGGACCGTGGTGGCAGGGAATGGTTTCAGGATGAAACTGTTCCACCTCAGATCATCAGGCATTACTTAGAGTATCATAAGGCGCGTGCAACCTAGATCCTTCACACGTGCAGTTCACAGTAGGGTTCTTAGTCCTGTGAGAATCTAATGCCTAAGTGAAGGAGCCAGAGCTCAGGTGATAATGTTCACTGGCCCACCACTTACCTCCTGCCCTGCAGCTCCAGTTCCTAACAGGCCATGGACAGGTTCTGGTTCATGGCCCAGGGGTTGGGGACCCCTGTGATAAGGGTTTTGTATCTACAATGTATATAAAGAACTTTTACAACTCAGTAATAAAAAGACAACTTATTTAAAAATGGGCAATGAATCTGAATAGACACTTCTCCAAGGGGGGTATACAGATGGCCAATAAACACTAAAATATTGTTCGACATCATTAGCCATCAGGGAAATGCAAAACCACAATGAAATAACACTGCATACAAACTAGGATGGTTATGTTCAAAAGATCACTTAATAAATTTTGGTGAGGATTTTGAAAAACTGAATCTTTCATACATTGCTGGGGGGAAAAGAAAATTGTGCACTCACTTTGAAAAGCAGCCTGACAATTTTTCAAAAGGTTAAACACAGAGTTACCATATGACCCAGCACATGACTCCTAGGTGCATGTGTGTCTGTATCCATGTAGCAGAATATTATTCAGGCATAAAAAGAAATGAAGTACTGATCCATGCTGCCACATGGATGTACCTTGAAAACCTGCTAAGCTTAGCAAAGAAGCCAGTCATAAAACACCAGATAGTGTATGATTCCCCTCTTCCTTTAGTTATCAACTTTCTGTCTCCTCACCCTCAATCTCTTTACTACTGCTGGATCAATCCCACCCTTATAGAACATATACCGGTACCTCCTACCTTAAAAAGAAAAAGATTCTCCATTGAACCTGTAATTCCCCTCTGCCAATGCTAATTTCACGATTCCACTTCATCACCAGACTTCTGCAAATCACTTCTTCACACTGCCATCATTTTCTTACTTTAGAGTCATTCTCTTATCCACTTTTCTCTGGCTTCTGCCCCTCATCACTCCACCAAGAATTTTTAAAAGAATACCAGTTGCTAATAATCTACAAACTACCCAATGTTATGGATATTCCTCTGTCCACATTGTACTCCATCTCCCAGCTACTCCCAGTAGAATTTGACTACTTCATCATTCTTGAAAAAAATCTCTGCACCTTTAAATTATACAACATTCCATGGCTTTTCCTTAATTGCTCTCTTTTT